CCTGCTCTCTCCAAACCTTACCCCCATTTTCGTTTTTCGCACTTGAACTCTTCTCCCTTCCTAACTAAAGTGACAGCACCGACACACTATACTGGACAAAATAATGATTTTCTTTAGTTTGGTATAGGTAGTTGGACTATAAAGATTCTGGGGACGAAACTAATGGGGGAGGGGGTTAAAATTAAAAACAAACGCCCAGGGGGCTCCACGACCAGAATGAATTTATGTTTATGTATGGCGGTGGTGACAAAGTCATAGCTGGCCCTGGGCATCAAAATTCCTGATTTGCTGATCCCCTCAAAGAATTGTAAATGATAAAAAATAATTTTGTTTAAATAGATTTCGGACGACCAGAGCGCATTGAGCATGATAAAGTGGCATGGATACCAGCGCGATATAAATATCAAATCAATCAATATATACTAATCCCCACAGAAAAATTACATGAAAGATACAGGTCAAAATGCATAGACCACCATAGGCCACAGTGCTTTTCATAACATTACTTCCTATAGGCTATAGACAGCCGTTCCCAGGAAAGGACTAGTAAGAAGATTTTGCCATGCCGTCTATGTGAAGTACATAGGATTGTATCGTTTAATTCACTATTAAGGGCCTATCTTAAGACGCCTTTGCGGCCCCCGATGCAGTGATATTGGCGCAAGAGATGTAGGTCCTCTCATTAGCATGACCCCGAGTATAGAGAGGGTGATGGGCCTTGGTGCATTACTGTGCCCAGGGCCTCCGCTGCTGTAAAGACGACCATGTCTGGTAACAGTATAAAAAAAGAGAATCGATCCCATCATGAATGGGATCCAACAGGGAACTGGATCCCACCAAAAAAAGGGATCACATGAACAGAATCCCATCGGGAAACTGGATTATTACAAAGGGTTCCCATTGGGGAAGTGGGATTCCACTGGGAACAAGGTCGGGATCCAACTGGGAACAGTTGACTAAAGTTACGGAGAGTTCCTCTGCGTTTTAAGTGAGATTTTCCTTGTTAACATATTACAGTGAACAGATGGATAGAATAGTTTTTAAATTACTTTTTATTAATATAAAGCAGGGGTCTCAAACTTGCGGGCTATTTGCGGCCCGCAAGACGATATTTTGCGGCCCGCTACATGACAGCAAAGTTTAGTGCAATGCGGCCCGCGAGTTTTCCCCATTCTCATATCTATAATGTGACCCTCCGCGAAGGTTTCAGTCGAATTTCACCGACTGGTCTTCTTATGATTTTTGTTATGTTTGTATAGATTTGGACGTTGATTATAATGTTAAAAAACTATTTTAAAACCGGAATTTTTTTTTTTTTTTTTGTTTGAATTTCATGAGACAAAGGTGGCCAAAGTGCAGTTTTGAGAAAAATTTAAAAAGTCAGTTGGTGGGTTATGCACAACCATAATTGTGTTAATCGTAGCAATCTGACACAGTGTCAAAGAATCCCTACTAATTTCCCCTACTGTTAACGAGTGAGGGGGAAATCCCAGCATGTCATGTCAGCTTGGTTCCATTTCAAAATAGGGTTTGTCAAAATGGCATTTTTCTAAGTTAAAATAATTAAAATCCAATCTCCCTACAATAGCATCTTCCTTCGCATCAATAATTCAGATATATTGCCTGCCCCTGCCTACTACTATCTGAACACATTTTAAGCTTTCATGGAGAAGGATATGGTTGTTTTCCCTGCACTATCACTAAGTGATCCCAAATGGCTCATGGACTTGGCTTTTCTTGTTGACAATACACAGGAGTTGAATGTACTCAACAAAAAGTTACAAGGCCAGAGGAAGCTTTTCAGTGTTGCCTATGACAATAACAAGGCATTCTGCACAAAACTTGTTAGTTTTATGGTTCTTAGAGAAACCTCTGCCATTTCCCAACATGAAAAGCACTTATGGATTGGGAACACCATTCACTATAATTATGAAGTATATTGACGCCATTGCAAAGCTACAGGAAGAATTTGATGACATGTTTATAGACTTCAAAACACACAGAACGACTTTTCAACTTTTTGCTGATACTTACTTTCTCCTTTAATGTGAAAAATGTGCCCTACCCCCACTTGCGCTTCAAATGGAGCTGATTGATCTTCGGTGACATTCTAATTCTAAGTTCAGGGAGTAAATGGACATGGAGAAACAGACAAGCATGGACAGTTTATGAGAGCATTGCCATCCACTTTCACTGAGATTTCCAGTTTGCTCAAGCCGATCCTGGGCCATTTTGGGGAGTTCATATCTGTGTGAAAAGCTCTTTTCCCACTATGAAATTTAAGAAATCAAAGTTCAGGGCCAAACTTACTGATGATCATCTTCAAGCTGTACTGAGGGTCTCAGTTGCTTCCTCACTCTAGCCAAATGTTGCTAAGCTGCCAGGTCTCTGGCAACAAGGAGTAGGAGGAAGAAAGTGAAGCCTAGTTCTTTTATTTGTTATTAATAAAGTTTGAGCAGATTGTAGCAGTTGTACTCTATTGAATTTGTCATCACTTTTTTTTTTTTACTTGATGCGCCCTAGTCTCACTCAGACCACCTGCGGCCCCCGGATGATTTGAGACCCCTGATATAAAGGAATTTTTTCAAACATGAAATTTTATTTCTAGTAAATAATTACATTCGTTCAGGTACTTATTTTCAATGTGGTTTAAAATGTTTGTAGTTCAGAGAAGAATCCTTGATTTCAATCCCATTTAATTGATTGTTCCATGTGGTTGTCATAGTGCAACCTGGGGCAGGGAACGTTTCGCCACCCCTCTTCCTCTTAGCCATTAGACTGGCGACACAAAATCCACTGTAGCTGCAACATCTTTTTATTCATTTAGATTAATTCAAATGATTTATGTTTTTTCTCTTGGATAATTTTTGAAAAATTAATTTGTTAAAAACTATTGGCATTGGTAAAATATGCTTATCCGATATCCTGGTAAGGTTTTTTATAATGCAATTTTTGCCATGCTAAAGAATTACAAACATCTTGCAAGGAGTTTGTTAATAAGATTTACTCCTAATGTGCTAAAAAAGAGAATATCTCAGACATTGCTGAATTAAGTTTATGTGAAGAAATACTCTTGTACACATGCTGCCCTGCAAGAAATTACCACTGAACTTTCTTAAACTGAAATGTTGACAGTCAAGTCAGTCACTGAATGTCAGCCCCTCTTGTGGACTTTTCAACCTCTGTGAATGCAGGATGCCTCGTATATTCAAGGGGGCCAAAGTTGTGATGTGGACAAAAATAAATTACCGGTACCAACTTTGATTACACAAAACGGACAAGTGGCATGGGGCCTCCAAAAGTCATGTGATGGCTCTGCTGGGTGTGTCCAAATAGAGTTAAGGCACACCTTTGGTTATATTATATCTATTGAAAATGATGTTGACACTACTGCCTTTTCTTCCTCAACAGCCAGCAAAGTTTGCTTATAGTATAGAGTAGTATACTGGTCATTATGCCAATTAAATTATTTTTTGTATGCCAATTAAATTATTTTTAATTAAAAAAGTGTATTTTGTAGTTATTGCATGATGCAAATCAGAAGTTTTTCTCAGCGTTGCATCTATTCAATTTCGAACATTTGTTTTTTAATTTTACTAAATAAAATCTAAATAATTATTCTTAACTTTTAATTCATGGTTGGCTGAATAAGACTGCTATCTTAAGACTCTTTCCTCAAGCTGCTATCTTAAGACTCTTTCCTCAAGCTGCTATCTTAAGACTCTTTCCTCAAGCTGCTATCTTAAGACTCTTTCCTCAAGACTTTTCCAAAAGCACCTTTTCCAATGATTCACTGTTAGTGTTAATATCAACTTGAAATTTTATTTGGGATGCCAAGTTACAGTGACAAAACAACACTCCCCCTAGCGTGTACACTACATATTATGTGGCATGCCCCATTGTCTGGCATCCGTCCATCACAATGTGACGATGGAGTGGGCTTCGGAGGACGAAATCCACATGGCCTGGGATTATACTTCAAGGATTATAGGCTGGTTCCCAACAGCAAATCGCCTCTCTCCACGCCGCTGGGTAACCCAAGGGAACATCATCGGATGATACAGCTTGGCACCAGTGACGTCGCAGGAGTTGCCGGAATGTTTCATTGTATCAATATTATCCGCCTTTCGGGACTCCATCTCCGGGTTTCATTTCAGAGTTTCCTTCTCTTAGATGAGTTGCCATCCAAGGTTAACGAGTCTCATATACCCGGGGTGCTGTTGGTGTTATTGCTTGACTGGGCTCTGGCTGGAATTGAACTCCATACCACCAACTTGAGATTTGCTCAGTTTAGACCATTCGGCCACCCAGCACCCAAGTAATATAACCTTATCAAATGCGTCCAACTCAGTCTCCTACCCGTCGGCATCCGGATCACAGTAATTAATAAAATACCAAGCCCCTCGCCTTTACTTTAAAGCAAAATAGTTTTAAAATCTACTTACATCAAAATACTGTGTCCCACCAGTGAACTTGGTGACTTAGGTTTAGCTCTACACTAAGTCTTAAGTCTAAGTGTAAAAGCTGTTTCCCAGAATAAGGACACATTCAGGTATAGGATAATTATGAACAAAAGGGGGAGGATGATGTTATAAAGTGCTCTTTTTAAATACCGGGTAGTGAGTGATTAGTCATTGCAAATGCAATAAAAATTTATTACTTTTCTTGATATCCCTAGTTGAAATTTTTAGCTGCATAGGGACATTTTGTTTAGCTCTTCCAATGAAGGTGGCATTCAATACTTTAATGTGCTCAGGTGTTAGTGAGAATGATCAATTTTACAGAAAGTTACTACCACTTTATATATATCTGTATAAATAAATAATTAGCGGATGCATAAAAAAAAAATCAAAACTCAATCCAATTTTGGCTTTCCCGTGTTCATCACAAAACGGGCTAATGTTAAGTAAGCTAAATGAACAGTTGTCAATGGAACCTGAAACAGGATGAACAAAACTTGACAACAGAAACAAGTTTTAAAAATCCACAAGAATGGCATTCTTACATAAATGGATTTATTCAAATTTTATATTCATTAAAAAAATTACTTCAACATGAATGGACAAATTCATACACATATGCTCAGTTAATCTATTCATCATTCAATGCTTTAATTAAACATCAGCATAACATTTGAAATTTGTACATGGTAACAATGAAATGTTAATTACCATTTTATTTACACCAAGACAATGACTACAGAAATTATAAGTATTGATAACTCTATGTTATCTTACCTTTTCAATTAATGCTGCATTTATTTATTAAATTTCTAAAAACACACAAAACTGAGGTTTAGATATTCTATGTAAAAGACTAAATGTTGAGACCACCTACCGCAAGTGGTACTCACCAATGTGGACCCTGTCAAGAAACAACCTTCACCCTTTTACACACTAGGCATTCTGTTGCAATATAGGAAATGGCCATCAATTTCATTTCTCAACAAGCTATCGATTTAATTAATTTAACAAAAATGAATAAAATGCCATATTTTAATATCTACTAACCAAGCGTCGCCACCAAACTTATGGGGGGGGCTTGTATTTTGCCCAACAGCAAATAATTATCTTGCTGTGACACTTGAGTGTTAAACATTATCATTAATCTATCAACAATTTAGCGTTAAACGATTAGTCCTTAGCAGTATGATTATTTGTGTCGCCACATAGTGTGGGGGCCTAGGATGCCCAACAGCAAAGCTACCTGCTGTGACACACTTGCCTTTTGATTATCCAAACACTGGCATAAGCTGAATTGTTCACTTTTTATGTCACCAACCAGAGCACCAAAAAACCATTTTCTTTTAGTTTGCGAAACCATCAAGGAAGATAGGAAATACTAATTGATTAAATTCTCTAAGCTAGTTATTGCATGATCAAACCCTTTCACGAGGGAACAGCGGTGTGACAAAAACTATTTGACCTATTTAAACATCTGTCACCAAGAAATAAATGTTTATAACACAAGAAATTTCATAAAGTTGGTTCATGGTGATGGTTGGGGGTCAATTGGACCCAACAGCACAGCTGTGACAACTTGCCTTCTTGCTGTCCAGTTAAATTTTCAACTCACAATGATGCAACTGCCCAACAAACTTAATATCTCAAACCACCTATCAAAACTGTCATTTCCACAAGACTAATCCCAATTCCTAGACACTAGCACTGACCATTGTATCTCACATTTTGTCCTTTGGTTTTAATTTTAGTCAAAAATTTAATTGTAATGAGGTACAATTTTAACACCAGGAACAAATATGAAAGTCCAAGAAATAAAAAGACTTATTTGTAAAATTTTGACTGTAGACATTTTTAAAAGCAAAAAATACAAAGATAATTTGAAATGGTCAGGCTTGTGAGTCAAGAGTAAAAAAACGTATGGATTAAGAGATGAGAAATTAGTATAAACAAATCAACATACAAAATCCAACCAAAAAACAAAGCTTTTATAAGCAGCATATGACATGCTAAGAAAATTAAACATATTTTCACTTACTTGGAAAAGACAGTGAAATTCTTCAAAGGATTTTTTTTTTACAAGAGGATCCTCACTAAATAAATTTGTTTAAAACTTGTAAACAGCCATTTCATTTAAGTATGTGCAGTTAAAAACTTCAAAATGCTTTCAAAACTCATTTGATCATGTCATACATACTTTCTCTGAAGTCAGAAGCTGCCACCATCAGTTAAAACATTATAATAAAAAAACATTTACCTTGCATTAAACACATTTAGCTTATATATGTATGATGGTTTGAGCCAAAAAGCACTAAGCTAATACCTTATAATTGCCTGCAACACTTTATTTAGAGCTTTATATTTACCTGTCACAAGTTCATTGCAACTTAATTAAATTGTCGACTTGGAGGCATGTTATTTCCTGGCCCCCCATACCCACCTCCCATATTTGGTCGCATTCCCATCATATTCATATTACCCCCCATAGGCCCACGAGGACCCCCCATACCCATCCCCCCCATATTCATATTTGAAGGACCTCGCATCATATTGCCCATCATAGGCCCTCCTTGCATCATATTTGGTCTTGGTCCTCCCATCATACCTGTTAAAAGTATTTAAAAATTCATTAAAAAATGTTTACAGAATATCTGTAAATGCAACTACAATTGCTTGTCAAGATACTGGACCCAGGACTATGTCAGATAATCATCCGTACCGGTACATAACATTAAAAATAATGACATTCTAAATGAAACTGTAAGGGACCAGTAATTGGCACATTTTTTAAAATTTACCATTGCTATCAACAAAATTTAAGCTTATGAACTATTAAAAGGTGTTAAAAATTATAACAAGGACATTGAGCTCATCTTTAATATACTTAAAGAGCTGTGGCAATCAAACATCACAATTTGAAGACACCTCTTACCAGCTGAATTTATCAAATAAAAGGAAAGAAATATATTTTAATTCCGATTACAAAAATCTGCATTCTATTTTATTACAACCAAATTAGACGGTAGCTTGAAAATACCTTACAATTTAACACTTTATATTCACACAAGGCCGAAGGGTGTCAACTGATTTGAACCTTTATATCCACACCACAACTATCGACGTATATATATAACTCAGAAACAAGAAAAACTCATGAAAACTCTCGCTTTTGAGGCACATGCATTTTAACATGTTGAATTCCTTCCGAAAATGGATAATCAACAACTTCAAATGAAAACATCTTGTCTTAAATTCGTTTTTTGTCTAATTTTGACTTTTTTTTTTTTTTTAAACACCAACCAATAGTAATTTTTTTCTTCAAAAATTGACTTGGATAATAAATTTCATATCCATTTACATGAAAACACAGATATTTCAATTGTTAATAAAACTAGCTGAAGTAATACAGATTCTTGTATTTAACTCTTTCGATGCGGAACAACTCACACTGCGTTCATCTGCCGTTCTCAAAAGCATGGACCAACGCGATGTGCGTTGTTTCAATATCATGTTTGTTTCTTTGCTATTTCTCAGTTCAACTTTTTTTAAAGACTTGTTCATAGAGGAGTGGTACTTCATTGTTTATAAGAGAAACCAGGGTTTATTTGTTGCCATTTGAAGCATAATTTTAATGATTTTCTTCGCTTTTTTTTTCTTCTGTTGCTACGGCTACTATAGGCCCTAGTAGGTGAGTTACTCTCATAGACGATTAACAGCTCAAAAAGCTTTGGAATTGTTTTATACTATTTCTTTTGATAGTGAAGATGATTTATATTTAGAACCATCGCATGATGCCAATAGTAGTAGTTTTAGAGGATTTGAGTTATAGAAGTGAAGATGAGGTATGCGTACATCATAGGGTGCGGGGGAAAAAAATGGTTTAGCATAAAATTTTGTCACATTTTATGGTTCTTTTCCTTAACTTATATTATTTAACTGAAGAAATAAGTTTACAAACATATAGTCCTTTCAATTACCTTTCATTTGATACCAAGTTTAGTCTTATAAACCAAAGAATAATTTTTTAAATACCTCTCACTCTTTTTCGCTCTTTGAAAAAAAAAGTACATTTTTTCTATTTAAAAATTCCGCAGCGAAAGAGTTAAATTAACAAAGAGAAATAAGTATTGCTAGTCTTAACAAAGTTATTGAGTTTAACTTCATATAAACTCCTGTGTCACTGAACTCATGCGCTATGTGTGTATAAAGTGTTAAACATGAAAACTGTTTTTGTCTAGTGTCCCCATACTAAATTAGAACATAAACATCAAGGTAAACCAAATTTATGTGTAAAGTTCAAGATTCAATACCCAAGTGTTAACTTTTAGGATGTTTCTTTTCAAACTATTAATAAAATGTTCAAGTTTTTAAATTGATTAAAATAGCCCTTTTATATTAAATTGCTTGACTAGTAATAAACTTAAGAGAGCAAAAACAGCCTGGCCAATGACAACTTTTATCAAGCTCCCCATGAAACTTAATTGGTTAAGGCCTGTAAACAAAATAAATCTTAAATTTCATTTTGTTTTCTCAAATCTTCAATTTACAAGTTACATACATTGATAGTATTTCAAGTACTTACAGTTTTAAGCTCAATTTATATGATGTTTGGACTATACACTTACCTGGCATCATATTGGGCCCTCCCATGCCCATACCCATATTCATTCCCATGTTCATGCCACCCATGTTCATTGGGCCACCTGACTGCATAGGGCCAGTCTGAGACATGGGGGAGTTGACCATACTGCTCACTATACTTTGTTCATGCATCAATGTTGATTTCTGATATTTTGGCATGTTTGCACGAAGCTCCTCCTGTAATAAATAATTTTAAAAGTAGAAAACATTTTTATTGAAATGAGTTTTAAGACTTGTTAATAAAATGTTAAAAATTTACTGTTACAAAAATAAATGGACTTTTACAAATAAAATTTAAGTTCTACATAATGTCAAACTACACACATTTAATTAACTTTATTGGAATAAGGTACATGTCTTTTTATTAAAAATTAACATAATATTTTCAATTTGAGGAAAAGGATTTTCAATTTATTTGCTTAACATTAACTTTATAAATTCATAAAAAATCTTTTTCAAAATTGTGTGTGGTCTCGGAAGGTTCAAAACACACCTGGAACCAGTACAGGTTAGTAAACCAATGTAAAACTCACTAACCTTTTAAGTAACCCACAGGATGAAACTGTAAAGATGTCATAGAATAACTTACCAAAGAAATATCCTCATCAGGATGCACTAACTTAGAAGTCAAACCTGATGTTGATTCTGGTTTTTTAATGGTTGGTGCACCTGTGATTGTTGCAGAACTATTTGAAACAACTGAGGCTGCCGCAGGGAATGTTGGCCGACCAGTGCCTCCAGAAGATGTGGCTGAAACATTGGACTGAAGAAAAAAGAAAAAGAAAAAAAAGGGCAAATTAACATTCATTTTAGAGTTCAAATGATATTTAATTTAGTGTGTGTGTGTAAATGTGAGTATGAGCCTTTAAAAAAAAAAACTCATTGGCTAATGAAATTACTATTACAGATAAGGCGTGCCTTTTTCGGAAAACAAAATGTACATATCTACATTTCTTGTACTAATGATGCATTTTTTTCAATTCTCTTTAACCCTGAAATCATTATGAAAACTATAATGTCTATTAATAAACACGTATACAACAGCCTTTTTCACTAGAGCAGTTTCTCATGTCAACTATTGCATCAGCATCTGATGAGGTAATATGCTACTCAGTGGCATTTTTCTAGCCATGTCACTGGTTGATTCAAATTCAACATAACTTTTCTAGATAGGCTTGGCTTTTAATGGTGGCAATGAGTAGGTATATGTCAGTCTATTTACAAGTTTTAATATTTAAGAAATAAGAGGAGCACTTGATTCTGATCTTCAAAAGTCTCTAATATAAGCCTAATGGTTTACCCGTACTAGCCATAACTAAGCAGCTATAATATATAATTCTGATTAAAGCAAAATTAATTATAAACTTTAATTGACAACTATCTGCCATTTTCCAGTGCAACCCAAATACTAATGGGAGACTTAATATTTTACTTAGGTCATTTGCTTTATTATGCAAATTAAGGGTTGAGAAATAAATAGCTAATCCAGTTTTGTATACTACTGACTTTTCTCACTCTATGAGTTAATGAACTATTTGAGTTAATAAACTATGATCAAAACTGAATTTTGAAATACCCCTCTATGTTAAATTTCATAATAAAATTTTAATGAATCAAACACTCGACCATTCAAATATTACTGAGGTGATAAGATGGTGGTGACATTTTGTTCATACTTGGCATATGTGTATGGCTTTGAAAAAGTGTAAAAAGGATGCCACTCATTATCAACAAATTGAAAATAAACAGTTTTAAAGTTAAATCCTTAATTTTCCCAGCAGTGGGTCCATTAGCCCAATGAACTTTTCTCCAAATGGTATTGAAAGGCCTAACCCAAAACAATTTTTTGGGGTGTATTTTGTAAGGACAGAAAATGATCATATCACTTTAAATTTAACATCAGATCTTTAATTCTTTTTTTTATTTAAAAAAATATATATATTTTTAAAAAACGTTTTCTTTTAAGTGAACTACCCCCCCCCCCACCCCCATTCACTTCCCCATTTTTTTTTAAAACTATTGTGTCACTGGGCTGGGAGTTAAGTAAAATAATTTAATGTTACTCACCTGTGCAGCTGATGGGAAAAGGGGCCTGTTAGGTGTTGCCATTTGAGGACGTTGCATGTTCATTCCATTCATCTGATTCATGTTATTCATTGGATGCATGTTATTCATACCTGGTGGGCACATCATAGGTCCACCCATTCTAAAAATTGATTCAAATTAATTCTCTTTAAAACAGAAGAAAATATCTTAAATTTAATATGTGTAAAAAGTGAAGAAAAGTTTACCATAACAATTAGGCAGTGCAATCAAATTATAAAATGTGACAGCCCAATAAATAAGACATATTAAAGACAAATAAAATATAACTAAACAAACATATGGGATATATAATCAATTTTCAAGGTTTAAATTACAATTTGAATGACACTTACCCCATTGGGCCCATGGGACCTAAAATGAAATATTAAAAGAATTTTTAAAAAAATAATACTAACTGGAAAGTACAATCACTTCTAATAGGTAAAGAAATTAAAACAAAAAGATATGACATCAAATAATTCAGAATTCAATTACAATTTAGTATCAAAAGTTTAATTAAAGTACTAATGCTGTAGATCTAAACATTATTATTTCTCTTATATCTTAATTTTATAGAAATCCAGCACTTTTACAATGAACGTACCCATTCCTCCCATTGGACCACCCATCATTGGTCCCCCCATTCCACCCATTGGATTCATCATAGGTCCACCCATGGGACCCCCCATGCCTCCCATCATAGGATTAGACATAGGGCCCATGCCTGGTCCATAGGGCATAGGTGGGGGAATGTTTCCCATGCCATTCATCATCGGCGTTGCTCCAGATGTTGTTGGAGGGTTACTATTATCATCACCAGAGTCCAACTCACTTGTAACTTCAGCAACTATACAAATAGGAAGTAAAATATGTGACAAAATTTAAAAGAAAATTATTTCCCCCAGTTATTTTTGTTAAGGCAGAGTATTGTATTAGAAAAAAGGTGTGAAGAAATTCACATATTGTATTTATTTACATTAGTGTGGAAAACAAAGTACCGGATAGAGTATATAAATGTTAAAACATCACATTTACACATTTGTTTAATAGTAATATATAATAATATAAACTCTAGCTGACTTACTTTTCTTATTTTTATTTTTCTCATGAGCCTTCGCATCTTCTTCTGGTATACCTTCCATCCCATATATTTCAATTTCTGTGTTGTTTCTGCCTGGAAGACTGTTAGGAACTTTGTCAATCTTTTCTTTATGCACCTAAATTTCAAACATACGAATCAAAATGCAAAATGTCATTCAGGGCATTCAAAACACAAATAGCTTTACTTAATTTTTTAAAAATAAAATTAATGTTCAAATGACATGGCATAGTAATTTAATACACCATGGGATAGGTGCCAAAAGATTTGTGTGAGTGCAAATATTTGAAAGATCTGAAATTTTAAAAAATTGAGACAATATTTTGAAGCCATCTAATATCATGGCAACTGGAACTTAAAAATATATCACATTGTTTTAAAAAATAGAAAACAATAATAGTTAGCTAGTAGTTGTAAAATATTTTTCTTGATACAATTCCCTAATCATTAATAATTGTTAAGCACAATATGAATTACCTGACCCTCTTGTTCCATTGGTACCAAGAGTACATCAATAATTCAAAGTACACAAAATTATGTGTCCATGTTTTTGTAGTAGCAAATATTTAGTGGTGTCCTTTTCTTCTGATCAGATATGGGCACATTAGTTTTAAAATAGTGAAAATATATTAAATAATTAAACTTGAACAGAAGAATCACCAGAATTAAAGGATGAGTGTTACATTAAATAGTGTTACATACCTGCATACAATGAATTGCTAAACCTGGACCTGTGTACAACTTTTTGTAACAAATGTGACACTTAAAATGCTTAGCCTTCTGATGCTGGATAAGAATCTTTTCATCATCGAATTCCCTGTTGCAATACTTAATGTAAGTTAAGGACTGACATCAAATTTTAGATATATAACTCCATCTCTGGGTTTGATTTCAGAGTTTGCGTTCCCTTAGATGAGTTGCCATCAAATGTCCCATCCACCCAGGGTGCTGGTGATTTTTTTTTGTCCATGTGTTTACTGGGGATCGAACTCCAGTTCACTAGCTTGGGATTGACTCAGTGTAGACCACTCGGCCAACCCCCACCTTGTAACTCAGGATGCAAAATGCATGCTTAGAGACCAGCTATCATATAGGCAGTGGTGGGCTAAAATGCAGTTAGCAGCAGGGCCATCAATGTCTTCCCATTTCAACTGCCCATAATTCCGTTAAATTATTTCGAAATTTAGTTCCGAATTTATTATTTGATACGTTTCTTTTCTCATTTTTAATTTTTTTCCCTAAAAGAGTGGGGAGGGGTTGTTGACACATCCCCACTCTTCCAAGACAAAATTAGAGAAAATTATGTTTAACTGTCACGTTAAATTGGGACATAAAATTATATAAATGAAAATCATTCATACAGGTATTTCGTTTTCAACTAATAAATTAAATTAAAAAAACAGCACTTTTAACCATGATGCCTATGCATGCTTCTTTTTCCTGAGTTCATCTTTGGCTATCAGCAAGGAAGAGTTTCTCTTTTTATTTCGGGAAGAGTTTCTCTTTTTATTTCGGGAAGCGTTATAAGCAGTCGGCTGCGCATAACCCTGACAGTTATATTCAGTCGACTGCGCATAACCCAGAGAGTTATTCCCAGCCGACTGCGTATAACTCTCAGGGTTATACGCAGTCGGCTGGGAATTTAGCCAAATAAGGTTTATTACAGCTAGTTTGGCAATTAAAAAAAAAAGTATTATGCGTATCATTACAGATTGTTTTGAACAATAACTTTTTATGTATTTAACGTAAAATTTTAATTGAATTAATTTTAATTAATATTGAATGATAGTAATAGTATTAGTGCTATTATTATTATTATTGCTTGTATCTTATATATTATAATTATAAGTCTAAGTAGATGATTTTTTAAAAGGTATTTCCATGGTCTAAGTCTAGTTCTGTATTCTGATTGATTAGGTTTTTATATGTTGCTATGACCATGTGGTTGGTTTTACTGACTAATTCAGGAAATACATTCTATTTATTTTTTTAAAACATTATATCATTTATGATTTTTTTTTTTTTTGGTGACCTAAATGTAACAGTTTTCAGCTTTCATGCAAAACTATAACTGTGAAAGTATTACTTAAAGTGCCCCCTCTACAGAACCCCCTGCCCCTACAGCTATTTTTTTTACTGCTACTCTCCACCCCTGATTATAATTACTGTACCAGAGAAACATGATTTTATATGCCAAAAAATTAGTTAAGAACACAAAATATATGTTAACAACACAAACATAATTATATTATAATAATTATAAGAATCACCTTATTAACATTACATTGGTCAAGTTAATAATTCTTATCATGTTTTAACATTTTTTAGCCAAAACAAAAGTAAAACAATAAGCATAGCTTATTTTGTTAGCTTCAATCTCGAGAACAAACCTAACAACTAACACATATTCTACATTCACAGGCTTTTGGCTGGAATTGAACTCAAGACCACCAACTTGAGGTTTGCTCAGTTTATACCATTCGACCGCCCAGTCATCCTTAAAGAAAGCACCTTTATCGATCGATACTGTAACACAAGAAGAATATAGACCTCGCGTGACTTGCCGACTGCGTATAACTCTCAGGTTTATATCCAGTCGGCTGCGCATAACCACTTCGTTTTATTTCTTTTGAAACTTGTAAGTTGAAGTTTAATAAAAATTAATTGTAAATTCAAATTTCATTTTAACTTATTTATATGAACTGTATCGATCAGCAGATTAATTTTTTGATGCGAATAACGCTCAGTGATTGAAGAACGGGAAAGTTAAAAATATCATCAATCAGGTCCAACTGTTGGTCCTGTCACCTTAAGTGCAGTGTTCGGATTCCAAAGTGAAGTCACAGCGCGTAGGGTGAGACAAATCTTGGTAAAACCCATGCCGTCAATTACACATTTACGTCAATGGTTGGAGCTACAATCTATGTCTATGTCACTATCTATGTCCATCACAAATTATGTGTACGGTAGCGTAAACAAATAAATGTACATATAAAAACACTGTAATAGGGTAGGGGTAAATTCTGTTTTGTTGGGTTTTAGGACAAACAGTCACTAACAACAAGATTATTGAATTCAATTTCAACACCATTCATTCAGTATTCAGTTTTCCAGTTAAATGAGAGTTGGCCCAATTTGAATTAAAAATGTAACTAAAATCTTTAACTCTGCAAATTTAAAAAATAGGACAAAGGTCTAAACTGAAATGGTTTAAAAATAAAATTCAATTCCAGGCTTCTCTAGGAGTAGGAGTACTAGAGTTAAGGTAATTACGACTATGTTTATTAGTGATAGTGTAAGTAGGGCTCTGCGTCCACTAAGTCTAAGACTAAGCTACTAAGCGAAGGGCAAGGGTTAGAGTAGAGCTGGGCACTAACGCCTAAATTAAAAATATAATTTAGAAAATATTCGCAATTTATTTTAATTAAATACTTCATTTAAAAGGATATCAGCACCAAGGTTTCATCTGCTTCTTCTTTTTTCTCCCCATTTTTTAAATGGTTAAAAGAAAAAATTGTCTCTACTTTGTTTTAAGATTGATCTAACGATCAAATATGGCGTCGTTCTTTGCTTTTCTAGGTTGAAACATGCAAAACATTTCTCCCCTAAGGAAATTAAAATTGTGAATTGATTTTATTATTAATTCTCAGAGTAAAGCAAACAAAATTATGGAGCTACATATTTAATTATTTGCGCTTTTTCTTTCTTAAGAAAAAAAAAGAAATGTATATATTATTTTCAATAATTTACATATTTATTCTTATTTATATTTTTTGAATTCTTTTTATTTCTTTCGTTGCCTTTTATGTGACGTTTCTCTGATGGTTCTCTGACAAACGCCAACTTGATAATCGCGCATAGTCATTAACTGCGCACACAGAAAATAGCACCAAAAAAAAATTATTATGAGGGTTCAGTTTGTTATCAGTATGAAAAAGACAAGTTGGCATTCATTAGAATTAAAGTGTACACAAATATAATATTAGTATTTAACAATGAAACATTATTAGATTTATTGTAGCAAAATTTAAATTTCTATTTGGCAAAGAAGAAAAATATTATCATTTTTAATTTTTGGGAGGTGACAGGAAGTCTCCTTTATTTATTTAAGAATTTCTGATTAAGATAGTTGTCCTAGCAGGCATGGGCGCCGCAGGCTGGGGCAAGGTGGGGCACTTGCCCCACCCCCCTGGATTGATTAGATAAAAAAATTTTAGACAAAAATAGACAAAAAATGTATTAAAGTAAAGAGAAAATAAAGAGAAAGTAACTAAGCTGATGTCCTGTCCGTTCGTTCACCATACAAATATGCTACAGTAAATTAAAACTA